CTTCTTGAATGATTTTTTTATCATTTAAGTTGAACGATTCAGTTCATTGTTCTTCTTGAATGATTTTTTTATCGTTTAAGTCGAACAATTCATTATCGTTCTTCTTGAACGATTTTTTTTATCGTTCAAGTCGAACAATTCGTTATCATTCTTCTTGAATGATTTTTTTTATCGTTCAAGTCAAACAATTCGTTATTGTTTTTCTTGAATGATTTTTTTTATCATTCAAGTCAACTTGAATCAAGTTGAATTTAAATTGAATCAAGTTAAATATTTAACTCGACTTGAATTTGGCTTGACTCGCAAATCATTAAGTCAAAAAAACATAAACTCAGCTTATCTGACTCGTGAGTTAACTCGACTCATCTGAAACTCTAATTGTATTAACACTTCTATGTCTATATAAACTAACTTTTTTAATATCATAATAGAATAAAATTATTAGTTTAAATTCGTATAAGAGTGAATAGCCAATTTTTATCACAATTTGTTTTATTATTATTACTTAAGGTTATATATTATACTTCATTGAATTTGAAATATAAATGAAATAAATTTATTCTTTTATCACAAAGTTTTTCACTATAATATATATATTATTTAAAGAATCCATATTTTTTATATATAAATTAAATTTTGAATTCATATTACAGATCTTTTTTTAAAAATATTTATTATTCTTATAATTTTATAATTATATAAAAATAAATTATACTATAAAACTTTTTAATAAATATCTTTTTTTTATTAATAAGTATTTTTTATATAAAGTAACGTTTATTTAAAAAGTGTTATTTTTTTATTACAAAGCTAAGATTATTTATCAATCAATAGGTGATTTATTCTAATAATATAAAATTACTATTTAATAGGTTTTAATAAGGATAAATCTAATAAACTAAATTTTATTAGTCTGAAATATAGTGTAGAATTATTAATTACAAGATAATGTAATATAAGATATCTGTCTGTTTCTGCTTTTTATTTGAATCAATGTTTATTAACATGTAACAAATTACTTTATCACATGAATTATAAAATAAGCTGTATTTTTAATATTTCAGACTTGTAAATAGTCTCTATTACCTAGTTTTTAAATAATTCTTATATAATAAATTATCTTTAAAAAATGAAAAATTAAAAAATTAAAAAAATTGATATATATGTTGATAATTAAAAATTTAAAAATATTACTATTAGATGTGTTTTAATATAACAAATTTAATAAACTTTTATTTTATCTTTTATTATCATTAAATATCAAAATTTTTTTAAATGTTTTATAAATAATTTTATACTTGTTATTTAAGAAATAATAATTTATAAAGATTATTGAAACTTTAAAAAATTTAATATAATAATACTTTTATTAATAAAAAAATAAAAAAAAATAAATTTAATGAAGATAAATACTAAAGAAAACTAAAAAATATGTTATAAATCAAATATTTGTACTAAAAGAAGATTAATTAAAAAAAAAATTTTTGTTAAGAACTTTATAATTTATAATTTAAAGTTATATTTATAAAATTAATTTATATAGTTAGATATGTAATAGTTATTCAGCACTTCATGTTGAGTAATTGTTGTATTTGCAATAAGAATATGATTGGTTAAAATTTGATGAGCTTTGCTTAGCAAATTTCACTTGATCATATTCTTATTGCAAATACATGTAAAGCATAATAGCGTCGTAATTATGAGATCATAAAGTGCTGAGTAACTATTTTATCAGTTTATACAAAATAGTTTAATTTAAAAACTTTATTAGACTTTTTTTAACTTTATTAAACTATTTTTTCATAAGAATAAATGATATTTTTTTTTTTTTTATGATCTTGTTTTTCCTTAAAAAAAATTTTTTTCTTTTGATAATATAAATAATAAAATATTTCATCTAAAGATAATCAATTATTGTCCCTTCATATTTTGACAAACTTATTCTTTTTTTCTAACTTAACATCTTTTTTTAATTAATAGCATACAATTTTTTTTCCTTTTCAAACCCTCTATTAGCATTTGTAAAAGATAAAGTTTCTTAAACACAATTGTCTGCATCACATGTATCTGATAAAGATCATACATACTATCATAAAAAAAAGAAAAAATCACAAATACAAGAAAGTGATGATAATTTAAGAAATATTATAAAAATTGCACTTTCAATAAATAAATTAATAATTAGTTATTAAACTATATTAATTAATATTTATCTAATAGTAATTTACAATTGACATAATAACAAAATAAATGATTAGTAACTAATTGTACTAGAAAAAACTATCAAATAGTAAATAACTGATAAAACAAATATATTTTTACATATTAAATATAATTAATTTATTTAATAAATCAAAAATATTATATATATTTATTATACAATCATATAGTTATATTAGAAATATTAAATTTATCAGATTATCAATTTGTAAATTATCTGCATTACCTATATAATATTGAATTATTTAATCAATTAATAAATTTTTTTTCTTTTAATATTAAAAAAAAAATAAAACTATATTAAATTAATAATAATATAATAAAATTTTATATTAATAATTTATAACTTTATAATATTATATAAAAAAAAACATAAATAATTATTATAAAAATTATAAAATATACTATATTTCAATATAAAAAATTATAAAGCTAAAAATAAAATAAAATATAACTTATTTTTAGCTTTATATAGTTAAATCAAAAAATATATCATAAAAACTTATAAATTATTAATAAATCTTAGAAAATGAATTATTTATTTTTATTTTAAATAATAGTTTAATTTTTTTAAGTTCTCTACTTTTATATATAATATATACTTACTTAATATTTTTTAATAAATATTAACAAACCTCTATATTATTTTTTAATTTAAACTATTAGCTATAATTATAATAAAACTATCAATAATTATAATGGATTATTATTAACACTTTTTTATTTATTATAATAAAATTAAATTAGTTTTTATAAATTGGATTTAATAAATTAATAATATTATAATAAGATAAACTCTTATATTAATTCTTATTTTTTACATATATTTTAATTTATTCTATTTATTTCTTTTAGATTTAATTATCTATATATTAAGAGAATTTATTATCTTTAATATTTTTAAATATATTTATATATCTTATTATGCATATCTTATTATAAATCTTATTAGATAAGAATTATTTTATCTTTTATTTGAATAATTTATAAAAATATACTAAATTAATAAATAGTATTTTAGATATATATAGAGAATATTAATACAGTTTCTTATTTTTTATTAGTTTTTCTATATATAATAAAATTAATATTTGACTTATTTAAAAATGCATTAAATTTTAACATAAATTCTTTATATAATAAATGCATTGAAATCCTGGTATTTATATAAAAAAAAATATGTTTATTGGCCTGAATTTTTAAAAATGATATAATTTAACTAAAATTTATTCTTATTCAAAATGAATAAGAATTAAAGCTATTTTATTTTTATTTCTTTTTATACTAAAGAATTCTTAATTTTTTTGACAATTTAAAAAACTTATTTTTCCATTTTGTTGAATTACAACTTTAATATCTGGTTTCTTATATTTAGTTATATAGAAATTTAGCACAATTTCAATTTCATTCATACGAATTTTATGCAAATTTTCAAATAGCATTTGAAGTAGCTTATGAAAAATTTACTATATATATTCTTAAAAATCTAACTTAACCACTTTTTAGTTTTTAATTCGAAATATATGCATATTGGAAATAAAATAAATTGAAGATCCATCAGATGAATTATTACAAGAGTAGTAGGATTAAATAATGAATCTTTGGATGAAATTTAAAAGTGATCGTCAGAATTTATTAATAGAATTAAAACAGAACAATGGTAATAATTTTAGACGAATCGGATTCGTGTAACCTAGAATTTTGATTATCATATGATTATCTTTCTACATTCATGAAAAACTCTTGTTCGTTTGGATACAGATAGTCGTGAATAGAGAGATCTTAATACTGTATATTCTAAAAATATGAAGTGATCGAAAAATTAACTTTTTACAAAAAAATTAAAAAGTTATGTCATCTACAGTTGCAAAAGGAAAAGAACTCGAGCAAAGGATCTTTGATATATTGAGGAGCATAGAAATTGAGTGCAAGTGGACAGGGTGAGAATCTCACTGAGTTATTTGTAGAATCGTTGTGTATCTGAAGTTACGCTGCCACTAGGTTTAAAATGCCTGGGAATTGAAAGCTCATCGTGGCCACGGTTTCGGCCGTGAACGTTCTTCCCAGTTTCCGAAGTCCTGCACTGCCGTAAGGCACTTGCTACGTACGCTGGGGATTGGTGGTGAATAGGGTACACGAATCAATGAATAGAAAGCACCTCGTGGCCACAGTCAAAAGCGACTGTGAACGTTCTTCTTTGGTTCTTAACGATGATGACACATGTACTCACTTTTTTACCAATGTCTTTATAGTGGTTCGGGTGACGGAGGAGTGGATATCAGCGGTGTTGTTGTTGGGATCCCGTTCGTGATTCAGTGTAAAAATTGGACAAAACATAAAATTGGTATGCTTCAATAAAATATGGTATTGAAAATAAGCTAATTGATGTTCGATTACAGGTCCCTCCGTCATTCGTGAATTCGAAGGAGCACTTACTAGACAAACAAGGGGTACAATAGGTGTTGTAGTAGGACGTTCAAAAAATAGATTCACGCCTGGTGCGATAGTGACGGCTAAAACATCGATTTACGATATTATCCTCACGGATAAGAAAGACCTTTGTATAGATCTCATTCAGTTAGTTGCTGATCGACTAAACAGATCTTATGGTTTCCATTATAAATATTCTTTTATTGTTTTCTTGTTAACTTTCTTACCTTTTTACTTGTATAAATTTGTAAGTTAAGATTTTTTGTATATATTTTATTTCTTGTACATTAATTTACTTTGTAATTTCATTTTTTTTTATTTATTTATATTTTAATGTTAATATTTTTTTATTTTTCCTTCCATTATTTGTATTCTGATATATATTTATTTCTTGTAAGTACATATTTGATCATATCCGTATCTTGGCGTCCTAATTCTAATCAATAAAACATTCTTATTCACTAGTACAAAAAAAATTGTATGGTGGGTTTTTGTTAATCGATTTTGCTTTCAGCTAGGGATTCCTGATGTTCTTGATAATATTACTATACAAGATGGATTCTCGATCTTTATTACTTCCGAATCGATTATTAGGCTTTAGATTATGTCGCAAAAGATATAAAATAAGGTGAGTTAGGTTATCGTATGATTTTTTTTTTATTCACATTGCCCAAATAAAACGAAAATTCATAACGAATCAAATAAATCAAAATTATTATCAAGATAATTTGTTAAACGTGTGGGATGTTGGATTATTGAATTTAGATTTTAATGCTAATCCTCCGTTTCCATCACCGATGAATGCGCAATACTCAGAAAATTGCTTTCCGAGTTCGGTTCCCGCACCATAGCTATAGCAAAGATACGTACTAGGAGGCGTTTGCTAATCCAGATTTTCGTGATGAGAATCGAATCTTTGATTTTTACATGCCTAAAGGACGACAATTTGAATCTTGTGAGCGTTGAATGTGTGTTATGAGGCATATTATTTGATGACTTTTTGATTTCATTGCATAAATGCTAATCGAACTTGCATTTGGTGGATTCCATTTCATTTTATAAGGAGCAGAAGTCCACAAAGTTTGATCTAAAGTTATGACGTCATTTTATCCCCATCGCATAGTAAAAATTTATTTTCCTGTAAATACTGATTTTCGTGATGTGATCATTTCTTGTTAGTTTCGTTTGTATGTTTATATCGATACAAAACGTATAAAAGGTATTCATACGAAAAATAGAACGAAAATCAAACGAAACAAAACAATAAATTTTATATTGATCTTTATTGACTTCATCAATCAATCGAACAAAACAATAAAAATAAGATATGCTAGTATATCTCCCTTTATTAGTATTTTGTACATCACGTGATTTAAGGTGGCCCCCTGCATGCCGGCATTATCTGTAACAAATAAGTTTTACTAACTTATGATCATTTTTTCTAGTTATTCAATTTTACATAACAAAAAAAATAAATTAATTAGTTTTATATATTATATATATTATAAATTAATATAAACTAATTCTTAACATATTTATTATATTTAAAAAGATAAAATATTTAAATTTAAAAATAAGTAAAAATAAATATCAAATTTGGTAACAAATAAAATTTTAAAAAAATGGTAATTTATAATCAAAAATTTAATAATACTTTTATTAAATATTTTTTTTTTTATAATTTAATTTATAAATAACTAGTTTAATTAAAAATATTAATTTTAATAGTTAATGAATATTATTATTAAAATTTAAATTGTAAATAATACTTATTAATGATTTATTAGTAGTTTTAAAAGATAATAAAAAAATAATGTTTAAATCAAATTTTTAATGATGTTTTTATAATAATAAGATCTTATCTGAATTCTTTTTTAAATTTGATAAATATTAAAAAGTATCTAAAAATTACATTTTATAATTTAAGCAAACTTTTATTTTTGTAAGATTGAAAATTTATTGATGAAACTTAACATCTCTTATCCTATGTAAAGTAAATTTATATTTATCACTTCATAAATATATATATATATATATATATATATATATATTTTTGATCGGTCGCCCGAACATCCCGACTGAGGCGCGTATATCACTTCATAAATATATCAACTACGATCTGAAAGAATCAAACCGATTTTTGAAACTTACATAAATGGTAGCATCTAATCTAATTGTGGTTAAAAGCTATTTAAATAAATCACGAGATTTAAAACCGCCCATATTGGGAAGAAAAGTTCAATTGATTGATTTACTATTATGAATACCTTTAAATTCGGATTACAAATTTGTAAGCTTACATTTATTTTTTTTTTCATCTCAATCTTTAAAATAATCATAACGTGACAAATTAAAAAATCTTTTTTTTTTCTGGGACTGAGTTACACAACACGTTTTCTTGCCTTTAAAGGATATTTCGTCATCTTCGTGAAATGCTGCTGAGTCAAAGGAAATCTATGATAAAAATTCTAATATAAGGAAATAAAAACTGTGCGATAAGAAAAATAACATATCGCTAATTACTTGTGATATTCGTCGTTCATATCTTTTCGTTATTTCATTAATATATAATAATAACAGCTGAATACATTAAACAATCATCATGACTAAACGTATAACCGCTGAAGAGGTTGCTAAACACAATACCGAAGGCTCCATCTGGATCATTGTTCATGACAAAGTATTTGACGTAACAAACTTTTTAAATGAACATCCTGGTGGAAAAAAAGTTTTACTTAAGGTTGCCGGTACAGATGCTACCAAACAATTTGATAATTTTCATGCAGTATCTATTTTAGATAAATATACCAAGTTACAACTCGGCGTAGTTGGTGATAACCAAGAAGAAGTTTCAAGCGAATCTGCTTCGGTTGATGGCCCATTTGGTGACCTCGTACCTTTCGGAGATCCCTATTGGTATCAAGACTTTTACAGTCCGTATTATAATGATTCTCATCGTCGTGTAAGAGCTGCTGTTCGTAAATTTGTTGAAACAGAAATTATGCCTTATACTTTTGATTGGGATGAAGCTAAAAAAATTCCTCAGGAACTTTTTATAAAAGCTGGTAAAGTTGGTATCTTACCAGCTGTCTGCGGTGCACCTTGGCCTGGAAAGTGGGTATCGATCAACATGAGCACAAAAAAATTGATTGAATTAGATGATTAAATTTTTTTTATTATTATTCCAATCATTTAGATATACCGATATTCAACCTATTGGTGGAGTAAAGGTTGAAGAATTTGATCATTTTCATGAATTTATTGTGACTGACGAATTGGCTCGTTGCGGATCCGGTGGTGTCTTATGGGGATTGACCGGTGGTAAGTAACATTATTATTTATTATAAATGGTAAAATTATTGTAAATCATGATCCCTTAAAATTATCGTCAATATTATTATTTTAATTTTAAAAGGTTTGGGTATCGGTCTTCCGCCAATCCTCAAATTTGCTTCCGAGGAACTTAAGAGAAAAGTTGCTCCAGAATGTCTTGCAGGAGTAAAGAATATTTGCCTTGCTATCACAGAACCATATGCTGGATCTGATGTTGCAAATATTAAGACAGAAGCCAAGCTTACTGCTGATGGTAAACATTATATCGTTAATGGTGAAAAGAAATGGATCACAAATGGTGTTTTTGCCCATTATTTCACCGTTGCGGTTCGTACTGGGGGCTCTGGTATGGGTGGTATTTCTCTTCTATTGATCGATAGGGACATGCCCGGTGTTAAGACTCGTCAAATGTTATGTACTGGTGTATGGGCATCAGGAACTTCTTACATTACTTTTGAGGATGTGAAAGTACCAGCATCCAATATTATCGGTAAAGTAAATGGAGGATTCAAGGTAAATTACAAAAATGATTTGATTTGATTTTATTTATTTTATTTTATTTTTAATAATACTGTCTTTTTTTTCGGTTAGTGTATTATGCATAATTTCAATCATGAACGTATGGGAATTGCGATTCAAGCAACACGTTTTGCCCGTGTTTGTTATGAAGAATCCATGAAATATGCTCACAAACGTAGGACATTCGGTAAAAAACTTGTTGAACACGATGTCATTCGTAATAAACTTGCCCATATGGCACGTCAAATTGAAGCAACACACTCGTGGATGGAAGCATTAATTTATCAAACAAATAACATGTTTGGAATTGAAGCTATGAATAAGCTTGGCGGTCCAATTGCTTTATTAAAAGCACAGTCAACGCAAACTTTCGAATATTGTGCTCGTGAAGCGGCGCAAATCTTTGGTGGTTTATCTTACTCACGTGGAGGGTGAGTCATCAATCTTAATATTAGAATGTTTTAACTTAAAACTTTTCTAATTAAATCTTATCAAATTTCTTTCAATATTATAGTCAAGGTGAAAAGGTTGAACGTTTATACCGTGAAGTACGTGCTTATGCAATTCCCGGTGGTTCAGAAGAAATTATGCTCGATCTTGGTGTCAGACAATCTCTTAAAGTTGCACAATTTTATGGTGCTAAACTTTAGTGTGTCGAATTAATGACGAATGACGAATATCATTATTGGGTAATTAGGATAATTAATTAAGTTCAAAATATATTTATTTCCTTTTTTTATGAAATTGTATTTTTTTTTTTTTTTTTTTGTTTTTGAAATACAATTTTAAATTCGTTATTTCTGATTGATGTTCAAAATTGGTTTAAAAATTTTATTTTTGCCGATTTATGTAATAATAAAGATTTAGAGTTTAATTATAATACCATCAGAAATATCTTGATCAAAGATTGACACATTCACGCATTCTTAATCTTTCGCTTGCAAAGAAAGCACGTAGAATGTAAATCCGTTTTGTCATGGGATCAATTATGTTTTATCACGAGTGATATTATTTTAAAAAGTGGTAGTAGGGTCGGTGAAGTGGTGACCTCCCTCTTCAATTAATTCATAATAAATTAAACATGGACTGGAACCACCGGCAGTTTCTTCGACTCGTCTATTAGAGGATTTTAAGGGTCGAAGAAAAAATGCGAGATTTTTGATGTTCGTTGTTTTTTCTTCTTTTTAATTATTTCGTGATTTTTCTTGTAGTTCTTCCCATTGTTCCCAATATATCCTTTGTCACGTGTTATATGAGAAACATAATCGCCGAATCATAAATTTTCCGTTCAAATATTTCAAACTACGGAATTAACAAAATTTCCCGTCTCTTATTTTTTTATATATTTCAATCTTTTTTATTTTAACTCATTTTAACTTTATTAGATGTAATGTTTCAGTAATGATTGAAAATAAATCATTTTATTTGATTTCTTTTTTTTTTTTCAACACGTATATGTACAGTATAAATACTGTAGTACAATACATCAAGGTCTCCAAAAATGGTTTCTATAAATAGAAATGTTCAAATAACTTCTACGCGACTGATAAAAAAAAAAAAATCTTTTTTCAAGATAAACGCGTTCGTTGTAACATGCCAAACCTATGCTTTTTATTCAAAGGTAAAAAAATGTCTACACATAAACATACTGGAACTCCCGTGAATGCTGGAACATATGAGGTACAACCAGCTTTATTAACATTTGCTTTAAAAAAGTCAAAACTTTAACAATAAAAGTTTTTACAATACAGCCACGAAATTTCCCGAGACCTTCTGCACCTTACAACACGCATACGCCGTCTACACCAACACAACCACGTAAAAGTTTCCCTACAAGAACTTCTATATCTCCCAATACACCACGTTTTCAACCTATAAATGTCCCTCAAGTAAAACCTCAACCAAACTATTTACATCTCCCTTTTCTTGATAACGCGATAAAAAAAATATACGAATATCATAACCAACGACAAGGAAGAACCACTCAAGGAGCTTTTTCAATTAATTCGGCGGGACGATCATATAATCAACCGTATATACATGGTGGAGATGTGATAGAATTTTATGGACCTTCTTGCGGTGGTAAGACCACAATATTACATCATGTGATTGTTACCACCATTATTC